CGCCGCGTGACAAGCATTGCCGCGTTCTGTGTGCGAAAGCCATTACTCTCATATTCGCTTTTCTCTCTCTCTCTCTCTCTCTCTCTCTCTCTCACATACGATTTCAAAACAATATAGCAGAGCCAATCACGAATCGAATCGGCATTAGCGGAGCTCTTTTTGGATCTCTAAGATTGACTGAATGAAGTCTCCTTAATCTTTCTTCCTGGTAGAAAGGTATTCCGTAGACAAATTTAGAGCTCTACTGCACATTAGCTTGATGACATCACAATAGTGCAGACTGAGTGCTTTTCTGCATGGGTAGTAACAGTAGTTAATTAAAGAGTAGGCGTAGAAATCGACTAATCATAGTTGATTATTTTTCTCACATCTAATTATGAAACTAATTTCATTTCAATGTCAATTTCTACGCCTACTCCTTAATCTATTGCTGCTGCCCATTATAGACTGTGCATTCGGAGCGCTTCGCTTCGATAATATGGTTGCCTGTTGCCATAAGCCGACAAGCATGATTGCTTGATATTGTTATGAATATTTGATAATGAATCTGTTGATTTGTAATGAATTTGATATAGTGAGCCTGATATTTGATAGTGTTTTATGTTTTTTTTGTATATAACCTTCCTCTCAAAATTCCTTAAAATTTTTCTCCATTATCAAATATAAAACTGTCCCCCGAATTTTCATACTTAATAAATTAATACAATACAATACATTAATACATTACATACAATTGTATGTGCAAAGCATTTTATTTTTTCACATTTACAAAATGAAAACTCTTTAAAATATTGATCAATTTTAAAATGTCATTTTGTGTTGAAAATTTTGCTCTTTAATATTTTTTAATATAAATATTCAAAATTTCTTATTTTCCATTTAAATAACAAAAATTAACTTACATCTCAAGACTATATATTTTTCCATAATTTTAATATCAAATTGTGCATAATTCTTTAATGTTATTATGCTAATGTTGTTAGACAATTCAAATTTGCCGCTTAGTGATGACGCAGTCAAGCAATTCTCATTGGCTGGGCATATGCTTGGAATGCGCAAGAGAATATATTCTTGTATTTTTACCATGCATTGAAGCATAATACAAACGAGGTGAAAGAGACAACATGGTTTGATTCACGCTTATAGCGCTATCAACACGCTTATGATTAAAAACTAGATCTATGAAAGGTGCTTCGATGACAGTCTATCTTTGTCACTCTCTGAATGTCAATAAGAAACGACGCTTGTGTCGACAAATGTGTCATCAAATGGAGAGTACCCAAAGTATTACGAATGCATCTATTTTGACGCATAACGCCGTTTCAAATTAATGAATTTGTATATACGTACTTTATTTGGGAAAATGAATCTGTTAAATATGTAAATCAATATTTTTAAATTGTAATTAGTTTATTTATGATAATCAAAAGAATATATACGAATGTTTAATTTATGTGTTTTTTTAGTTTAATACGGATTTATCTGCTGTAGAAGTTTAATGCATAAAAGTGCACAAGGAGTACATGTAAGTACAGTTTAAAACAGGAACACGAAAGTACATATGTATGATCATATGTATCATATGTATGATTATCGCAAGAGTTTGAGTATTTTTAAAAGAGCATTCGGCCGAGGTAAACGTGTTTTTATCTCGATTCAGATTATCTTAGTATTTTTTTAAAGTGGCTGACTACAATCAGTAACACATAGATTTTACTGTACTCAATGTGTACTTGAAATCATATACTATGTGTATTTTGGCCATTTTGATACATCAATTCAGGGTATCGATTATGTAAAGTTTCCCCTAGGAATGAATACTCAAAAAGTGAACAAATTCAATAATATAATGAATAAGCGTAAATATAATGAATAAGCGATTACGTAACTTTTGGCTGTTATAAAATGTGAAATAGTTCACGAGAAATTTTTCGGCAAGGAACGAAATGTCTAAAATGTGAAATTTTAATTATTTTTTAATAAATTAATATAAATTAGCTTGTTTTTCGATCTTTTGGTCTGTTCCTGCATTAGACTGCATTAGAACTCTCTCGCTTTCAAATATCAAATATATTTGACAATCAAATATATTTGAATATCTATTTGAAATATATATTTAAAATGGATATTGCATGGTTTCTCACTGTAAATGGTGCGAACGAAGAGGAAAGGCATGCAGTTTTATTTACAAATGTTAAATATTAAAAATAATAAACTGTAAATAAAAATTACAAACAAATATAATGTGTATACTTTTTTGTAAAGGATGAATTATAGAAAGAAGTAACAATAGCTCTTAATTCATCAGGCTAAAAAAACTTTGATGTTACAGAAACTGCAAAAGCCTTTCTCCAAGCATCAAGGAGTTCTTAATCTAGAAAAAGAATTCGTCCTCTTAGAGACTGCAGGATATGATTTCGTCCTTACAGATCAATGTTGAAATAATATTGTTTTATTATAGAATATTATAATATTGTATTTATTATAGAGTATTGTAATATTGTTTTTATTATAGAGTATTATATTTTATTAGAGTTTTATTATAAAAAACTTGCTATTACTAAAGACTTTAATAAAAATTACCTGTACAACCTACGAAATTCATTATCAGAAATAAAAAAAAAATTTGATATGTCTCTGAATATTCTCTGAGTAATTCTTATTTCATTGTGTTGTTTCAGTGTGTAGTAATTCTTGTTTCAGTGTGTAGTTCAAAATTTCTTCATCTTCTTCATTATTAAGTAATAAAACAGCCATATACAGTGCCATTTTACTTTACATTTTTTTCTTTTAGGTATTTATGCAAAACAATATTTGACGGATTTAACCTTGTTATCAACACGCTATTAGATGTCTATTACTTGTATTCATAGGCCTTATATTTAAAGCTTCCTTAAATTTATCTTTAGATACTGTACGAATTATTTCATTGGCTGCTGAATCATGGCTGCATCTAAAAATAAATTTAAGGAAGTCTTAAGAAGATCTGACTATGAATACGGGCATATGGTTCTTCTCTCGCTTTATTTGACAGTCTTTCTCTCTCGAATCTCACCTTTCGATAAGAAATTTCTTGCCGAACGAATTCCCATGAGATTGCTTATTTTTTCATCATGATGAAAGTTATGGAATCGCGCGATGTAAGATGGCTTACATTTTCACCATGATAAAAATTAGAGAATTGATACCCCAATTGTACCAACGTTACTTTGACTTTAAGCAAGACTTAAAATTCTCTCTGTCTCGTTTTAAAGTGAAAAAGAGACAGAGATGGAGAAAGTTTTAAGCTTTACTAAAACCAAAATAACGTTAGTGCAACTGCCTAAATATATTATAATTTTGCATAGTTCGGACTTCCCATTTCAACGTTTCCAAATATGTCTTGACCACTTTCGCAACATGGGGTCGAGCATTGTCATGCTGCAAAATCACTTTATCGTGTCTCTCGTTGTATTGCGGCCGTTTGTCTTTCAATGCTCGACTCAAACGCATCAATTGCGTTCGATACCGATCGCCTGTGATTGTTTCAGTCGGTTTTGCAACAGTTCATAATACACTACGCCGAGCTGGTCCCACCAAGTACAGAGCATGACCTGGACGTCAAAATCACCGTTCTTGAAGCGTTGAAATCACTCACGACACGTTCTTTCACTAATAGCGGCCTCACCATAAGTATTTGAGAGCATTCGATGAGCCTCAGCCGCAGATTTCTTCACATTGAAGCAAAAAATTAAACCCTCCCGCAAATGACGAGAATTTGGCTCGTAAACTGACATTTTCAATCGAGACTAACTTTATGATGCAGACACAAATCGACTAATATTTCTATGGGGTTATGTTGACAGATGCTCAAGTTTATTGTATGACGTCTATGATCTATTTATTTCGACCACCACTTACCGCTAAAGCCATCTATAGGAAAACGGCAGAAGCAAAGTTGTACACCTAATATATATATAGGATGTAGCAGAGTTAGCGCAAGGACACGTACATATTCCTCACGAAAAAGTAAATCGAAAATGTTAATAGCAAAATCTTAAGACATCAATAGTTTTCAAACAGTGAGTATTTGAAAATAATTGATTACAGAACATTCGCCATTAGGAGCGGCATAACTAAGCGGTCGGCCGCACGAACACTTTGATAAATGTTCGCTCAACGGTGTATTGCCGAACGAGTATTACAAAATTTCGTGAAATTTCTATATTAAATTTCTATATTATTGTCATATTCTTAAATTGTCCAATTTAATTGATGAGAAATAATTCAATTGCAAATTCGATAAATAAATAAATTTATAGATAAAATATATATTAATATTAATTAAATGATCCAAACAAATAACGTTAAAAATATCAATTGATAGATATTTACAGCTTATTACTCTTAGTTGCGCCGCTCCTGATGGCGCGAATTTCATGTCCTGTAGTTGCTCACTATTTGAAAATTATTGATGCCTTAAAATTTTGCTATTAACATTTTCGATTTACTTTTTCATGAAGAATATGTACGTGCCGACTCCTGCGCTAATTCTGGTACACCCTATGTATATACTTTGATCAAACGTTTCCGGAATTCATTCAGAAAATTCAAAATACAAGTTTTATTCATCAAAAGTGATATTGTCCCCTTCAAAGTACTCCCCATCGATTGCAACACACTTATGCCAGCGCTTGATCCAGCTCTCGAAAAATTTCTGGAACTCTATTGTCGGTATAGCCATCAGAGCCGTCTTCGATTTTTCCACCTCCTTTCGGTTGTTAAAACACGTTCCCCGTAATTGTTTTTTGATTCGATCGAACAGAAAAAAATCGCAAGGAGCCATAGCAGGTGAATTCGATGACTGTTGGATGGTATTCGTTTCGTTCTTGGTCAAAAATTCATGGATAATGATGGCATTGTGCGACGGTGCGTTATCATGGTGCAAAATCCACGACTTGTTTGCCCACAAATCCTTTCTTTTTTGGCGAACTGCTTCACGCAAACGTCCAAATAATACTCTAATAATACTCTACTACTAAGTTATTAACTGTCTGACCTTCTGGTAAAAATTCGTGATGTACAATACCATTGTAATCCATGAAAACCGTGAGCATCGCTTTATTTTTCGATTGAAAACGACGTGGTTTTTTTGGTCTTGGTTCATTTGAAGCTTTTTGTTCACTCGCCTGATGTCTGGATTGCGTGTCGTTCTCATAAACCCACGTCTCGTCTCCAGTAATGATGCGTTTGATGAATGTTGGGTCGGATTTAGCCTTAGAAATCATGTCTTTGGCGATGACAACGCGGTCCCTTTTTTGCATGAAATTCAGTTCCTTCGGGACCAACTTTGCAGCAACACGGCGCAAACCCAAACCATTAACTACAATGTCCTGAATGGATCCATAAGCAATGTTTAAGTCTTCTGCCAACTCTCTGATAGTTAATTTGCGGTTATTGATCAACATTTCTCTCACTTTATTGATGTTTTCGTCGGTTTTCGATGTCGACGGCCTGCCACTGCGTTCGTCATCCTCGACAGACTCACGATCACTTTTGAAGCGTTCATGCCACTCATAAACGGCTGTTTTCTTTAGAATCATTGCCGAAACAGTTCCCAACATTTTCAAGGTTTTTACACCATTGAATTCATTTTTAACGCAAAATTTAATACGAACTCGTTGTTGCAAACGACTCCATTTTTAAAACTATAAAAAATCAAAAATACGTGCAGAGGTAGATGTACTCAAGACGGCGTAACTTTTATAAATGTCAAGCTATGATGATAAAATTTGGTGGGAATGTCAATGATAGATGTGATAACCTAACCAAAAAAACAGAATTCAAATCAGCTGACTCAGAGCATCACCTTGTGGTAATTCCGAGAACTTTTTGATCAAGATGGTACAGGGTGTCTGGAAATAATCGCCAAATATTTCATGAGGCGCGATGCGGAGAAACATAGGATTACCATGCCACGCTGTGCCAGGCGACGAAGCGCTCCTTCTTCCTCTCTGCATGCCGATGCTGCTCGAGTGTGGGTCGTCTTATGAATTCGCGCGGCGCGAACTTAACCGCATATTGGCTTAGACGTTTCTTCTTCTAATTCGAAAACTACAACGAATATCTCAAAATTGTATAAGAATTTTTTGTTCTCTTTGATCCATTCTCCGTCAATGTGGCCTCGACCCATCTTAAGAAACACCCGTATATATATATATATATA